CTTGGGAGGAGCCCCTGGCTCTTCTTTTACCAGTTCTGCCTGTGTGAAGATAAGTCAAAGGTCCTGCTCGACCATGGTTGGCTTCACTTGGAAGCATGGAGGAAATGATTCCTCTGTGTTGACCCTCCTCTTTGTAGACTGGACACTGGTTCAAGTCCATCTGGTCATGTGTCCTCGGCCTCCTTGATCAAGAGGACAGGTGACCCACCACAATTACAGGACATTTTGAGAGATGCTCATAGTCCCCTGGACCTAGTCGACCTAGGAGGGCAAGGAGCAAAAAGTGCCCTTTATGTCCAAATTATTATTGGCCTCAAAGTATGTCTGTTAAACACCCAGGAAGGTTAGTTCCACCAGTCTGGTATTTTTAATAACTGTGTGTCATCTACAATGAAAATTTTAAATTGTTAAAGAAAGAGATTCAGGAAGACACCAGGAGATGGAAGGAACTCCCATGTTCATGGATTGGAAGAATTAATACTGTAAAAATGACCATCCTACCAAAAGCAATATATAGATTCAATGCAATCCCAATCAAAATCCCAATGCCATCCTTCACAGAATTAGAAAAAAATCCTTAAATTCATATAGAAGCACAAAAGACCCTGGATAGCCAAAGCAACCCTGAGCACAAAGAGCAGTGCTAGGGGATTAATATACCAGATCTCAAAGTATACTACAAAGCTATAGTCATAAAAACAGCATGTACTGGCACAAAAATAGACACAGAAATCAATGGAACATCATTGAAAACCCAAACCCGAGTATATGAAATTTCAGCCACCTGATATTTGACAAAGGTGCCAAGAACACACAATGGAGGAAAGACAGCGAGAGATGGAAGGCCCTCCCTTGCTCATGGTAGAATTGGTAGAATTCATCTTGTGAAAATGACCATCTTCACCCTGTCTAAAAGTCAACTCCAAATGGATCAAAGACCTCAATAAGAAGCCTGAAGCTCTAAAACTGCTAGAAGAAAACACAGGCAGCACCTTACAAGATACAGGGGTAGGAAAGACTTTCTAAATTGTACATCAGTTTGCTCAGGAATTAAAGTTAGCAATCAATAAGTGGGACCTCATTAAACTAAAAAGATTCTCTATAGCAAAAGAATCATTCAAAAAAGTGAAGAGAAAACCCACAGAATGGGAAAATATCTTCACCAGTGATACATCTGTCAGGGGTTTAATATCCAGAATATATAAACAAGGAATCAAGAAAGCAAGGGATAGAATTAAAGATAGAATAAAGATCTAAACAGAGAGTTCTCAAAGTAAGACATAAAGATGGCTAAGACACGTCTCAAAAAGTGTTCAACATCGTTAGTGATTAGGGAAATGCAAATTAAAACCACCCCAAGGTATCACCTTACCCCAATCAGACTGGCTAGGATCAAGAGAATGAATGATACCAAATACTGACAAGGATGTAGAGAAAAGGGAACATTCATTCACTGCTGGTGGGACTGCAAACTTATGCAGCCTCTATGGAAAACAGTGTGGAGAACATCTTAAAAAGCTAAAAATGAACCTACCATTTGACCCAGGTATACCACTCCTTGGCATATACCCAAAGAATTCATCCTATCGCAGAGACACTTGTACATCCATGTTTGTTGCTGCTCTTTTCACAATAGCTAAGAGACGGAAACAACCTTAGTGTCCCTCGACTGACGAGTGGTTAACAAAAATGTGTTATATTTACACAATGGAGTTCTATTCAGCAGTAAAGAAAGAAGAAATAATGAAATATGCAGGTAAATGGATGAATCTAGAAACTGTTATACTAAGTAACACAGACTCAGAAAAATAAGATATATGTTCTCCCTCATTTACGGATCCTAGCACCAAACCCTTTTAAATTGCATGTCCTTTTAATGATGCTGTACAGCAGTCTCTTCTGCATGAAATAACTGCCATCATCACGACTTCAGCAGCGCCTTATTGCTAAACATCATCACAATTGGGCTTGTTGTCTGCTGTGCTCCTTCATTAAAGGAGGGGCAAACAGGGTCATTGGACCCTCACCGGAGTATCCAGCCACTCTTCCCAGCCAACTGTATGTAATTTGGCCCTAATCACACAGGGTCTCTCACAACAGATGGAAATTTTATTTGTTAATGTTATTATGTCTGATAATTATTTTTAAAAAAGCTTGTTAATGTTATTATGTCTCATAATTATTGAAAAAAGAAAATGAGAATGTAAAAGATGTTAAAATGATATGGGAATGGAGATATTTTCTAAACAAGACAGAAAAAATGAGAAAGCCTAAGCAAGTAATGAAGGTCTGTGTAGATTTGTTATGATATATAAAGGGTGAGACAAAAATAATATACACATAATCTTAAAATTTCTAAGGTCATAGTTTAGTCAACTAGTTTAAGGAACAAAATATATATCTAGTCAAGGTTTATCTGAGAACATCTGGTTTTTCACCCAAGCTATATCTACATGGCACATGATAATTAAAAGTACCAGACTGGTGGAACTAACCTTATTGGATATTTAACAGCCATAGTTTGAGGCCTATACTAATGTGGTCAGAGGGATTTAAAGGACAGTTTTTGCCCCTTGCCCTCCAAGGTCGACTAAGTTCCAGGAGACTATTAAACATCTCTCAAAGTGTCCTGTAACTGTGGTGAGTCACCTGTCCTCTTGTTCAGGGAGGAAATGGAGACCCCACCTGATGGACTTGAACCAGTGTCCAGTCTACAAAGAGGAGGGTCAACTCAGAGGAAACATCTCTTCCATGCTTCCAAGTGAAGGCAGCCATGGTCGAGCAGGACCTTTGACTTATCTTCACATAGATGGAACTGGTAAAAGAAAGGATCCAGGAGCTCTTCCCAAGCCCATGTGACCCCTGAGGAACAGAGCCTCAAATGACCTTAAGTGTAAAGATAAATTGATTCATTTGGGCCAACTGTATGGTCTTAAACACCCAAAAGGAAAGTATAACCAAAGAGTAAAGTCATCAGTATATT